TTTTTTTTTTTTCCCCTGTGTACATGGTCTGCTGTCTGGAAAAATGTTTCCCAACACAAGATAAAAGGGTTAACCAATGGGCAGTAGCAGAAGAGATAGGTCAGTTGTTAGGCTGCATTCTTAAAGAGTATTACATGTCCTCCTGACCCCCTCTTCCTTCTTGCCAGTTGGAAAGTGGAGATAGGAAAGTGGACCATGAAATGACCTCAGAAATGTCAATCCAATGAGTGGACAGACAGAATGAGAGGAGTCTGATGCTGTCCTGTCATCCTGGACCAACTGCTTTTGAACTGTCATGTGGTACAGCAAGAAATTTCTAGTCTTAATTAAGTTACTATGCTTTGGGTTTTCTTTCACTCCCATATGAACTAACCCTACTGGTACTATAAGAAAACCCAGTCTTGGATTTTAAAATAATTGTGGTTTGGTTAATTCAAAGTGTACATACACACATGGATAACAACAGTTGTCCATATTGTTTTAAGGGTTTTAATGCAATAAAGTAAGTTCTGGAGTTCCTTTCATTCAGTTAAGATAAACACCTACCTCCTGGTCCTTGCTCGTGTAATTGAGGTACCTGATTCAGGAGTCTATGATTTTCCCTTTTTTTTCCGACTGAAGAAACAACCATTACCACAGATATATAGACATCAGGACTACGTGAAGAAACTGCTGTATTTGCTGAGCATCACTGGAATCTGGTATATAGAATCCTTTACAATAAGAACTATGCATATGAATCATTTATCCCTTCTGACTCCACTGAAAACTGAGCTCATTACTGCTGTGATTAGGCCTTTATGGTTGGATGATAAAACATTACAAGACAATGGTATATGTTACAGAAGTAAAATGACCATTGCACCTTGTGATTAAAAAAATTTCTATTTGGTTCAACAGTTTTTTTCCCTCATTTTTTCACCTTCAAATTGGTTCTTAAAAGGAGGACTGTATGACAAAATAGTTCATCTCTCCTAATATTCTTCTGGTACTGTTCATTTTGTGAACTAGGATTGATTCCTGTCTTTCCTTCCTTACTCTATAATTTGCTCAAACTGGTGATGTGAGGTACTGAAATTTTGGCGTCAAGAGGATCTGATGCCGTCCTGTCATCCTGGAGCAATTACTTTTGAATTGCCATGTGGGATAGCAAGGTTTCCTCAATTTTAAAGGTAAAATTGTTCTTGAGTCCTTGCAAACATATGATCTAAAAAGATGTTCATTTAATTCATTACTCCACTGAAATGAATTAGTTTGCCAGATTAACCCACTGAAATCTTGGAGTAGACAGGGAGTAAGGAAATGAAACACCTTGGGAAGATGGAAACTAAGTAGTGTATGGTCTGGCAAGTAAGTCATAGGTACTTATCGAGCACCTGTTATCATCTTAATGCATTAACTGCTGACTAACGCATCTATGTTTCTTCATTTGTGGAGGAGGAAAAGAAAGTAGACCACAGAAAAATCCTATACAGTCTGAGATGTGGAGAAGAGCACCAGGCTCTTCTCCTGGCAGCTAAAGAGAGCTACATTTTCATGGCCTGAACATGTCCTTTGTTATGTTCTTCTTGGGTATAGGAGCCAAAAAAAAAAAAAAAAAAATTACACTGTGGGAGGATTACATTCTGGGAGGATACCAGAAATAACCCAGTCAATGAGGGAGGGAGAATAAACAGATTTAATTTGACCACAGGACACTGGGATATTTTCCCATTGGACTATTGAACAGACTGTTCTCTATAAAGCTTTGCAATGGTGAAAATATATCTATCATTCAATTCCGGGCAGTCTTGTCTTCTTGTATATCATTTAGTTCTGCCTGGCTTCTTCCTCAAACTCTTCAAAAGACATTTTCTACTCTTCATAAGGACTTCCAAATCTTAATCCCTTGTCCTCATTTAAGAATTATTTTTGACACTATCACTGACTGAATTTTTAATCTAAAACAATGTTACTTGAGTCCATAGAGCTCACCTATCTTTATTATATCATTGATAGAATATTATAGGACTTGTCTATTATAATTAAATAGCAGGAAAGAATGATCAGAAACATAGGTTGTGATCATCGTGTTAATACTTCCCTTAGGTTAAGCTGGTCATTTGCTTGTTATTTATTGACATGAAAGTCTGACAGTTGTTAGGGAAATTTTAAAGAACAAAATTGAATTGTATTATTTTAATTAATTCATGAATGTTGAATTTCAGCATAGAATGTACACTTAAAAACTTATTTTGATTAAAACAACATGATTATTCTTAACTACTGAAATGCAAGCATTGACATTCACAAATTCCCTGACTGTTCTTTGTCAAAGACATTAGCTGACATTAGGTTAGAAGAACAAATGTAAATATGCTCAGTTGCTGTGACTGAAAATAGTCTGTGAAGATAAACTATTGGAGGATACGTGACAATACTTAGTTTAAATAAAATGAAGGATTATCAAGGTGCTAAACTACATATTCTTAGTCAGTCTATGTGAAAAAAATGTGATCACCACTTGAATTGTGGATTCTTTATTCATTCTTGAAATGGATGACTTTATTTTTTAAATGGGTGTCTCTGTAAAAGGTCGGTGGTACAAGACTGGCTAGCCCAAGAAACATTCTCAACTGTGTTCTTTCTGCTGCCTCATGTTAGAGAGGCTGGCAAACATACTTTTCTGGAATCTTCTGTAGTTAGGACTGTTTTATGCACTTATTCTTGCTAACGACATGTAAGAGAGAGTCAACAGTGGACATTCTAGAGAAACTTTTACTCTTACTTTGTACCTTAAAAGCAGATGGAATGCCTGAAGTGATGGGAATCAATTTGCAGGACACCAGCATGAGTCAAAAAGCTAGGGTTTTAGACACATTATTGAATTGCTACCCCTTTTTCTAGTTTACTTTCCTCTAGACTTTTAATTTTAAAAGAGGATGACTTTATCAATTCACTAATTGAGAGTTAGCTTTGGTTATTGTTGTTATTTGTAATCAATAGCACATTATAAATTAGTTCTCCACTATTTTGAGAAGCTGAGTCTAATATATGAAGATCTAGTCAGCTCTCTGTCAAAAACATGCTTTACATTTATTTCCATGAGAATAATCAAAAGCAGCACTTTCCAAAAGAAACATGTATGATAAATTCACATGGCCACTGAACACTTGGGAGATATTAGTGTAATTGAGGAACTGAAGGTTTAATTTCAAATCATTATAGTTAATTTAAATTGAACCTGAAATAGTCATATGTTGCTACTGGCTAGGATGTCAAACAGTGCAGGTGTAAGAAATTGCTAGTTATTTAAAAAAGTACTTAAATTACTGTAGTTCACATGATAAAAAAAATTACCCTATCACTTTTATATATGTTTATGGGCCCAAAAACACCTCATTATGGAAAAGTGATGACTCAGCAGGGCTTTAATAGTGTTATGTTTGAAGGTTGTTAAACAATATTTAACTTGCATATTAGCTAACTACACAGACTTGATACCAATTTAAGCATTTTACATTGACAACTACAATAAAGGATGTCTTTTTGTATAATAGTCTTATTCAGGGTATGCTCATTCAGTTGTTTGCTAAGACTTTTGTATTCCCAATTACAAATGAAATGAATAATAATGATGTGCCAGGCTCTCTGAGCTAACCTGTAAATTATAGTTTGTGGAATACTGCCACACATACTAGCAAATCAGCACATAGTGCACCAATATGGTGCTAAGAGTGGCAAGAGGCTGCGAGCTGACAGTTCCAGTAGCACCAGACGCAGTGAGAACTGACAGCACCAGAAATCAGAAATGTGTGGGACTGAATTTTCTGGAATGTGGTATTCAAAACTGCCTACTACTCCCAACTATGGCATGAAGAAATGATTCCATCATACCTTGGTGTTCTATGCAAAATCAATACTCAAAAACTTACCCTCATTGTTATTTTTTTAAAGCCTGAACAACAGCTAATTCTCTAAGTGTCTAAGGTGGCCCAACCCTGTTAAAAATGATCACTTCTTTTATCTCCTGACCAGGATCACTTCCTTAAATAGCTACTCCATCATTAGTTACCTCCTGGTTGCTGAACTTAGGGCAACAAAGTGCCTTTGTATTGGGAACTTGAGATCCTTCAGTCAGGGTTATATACAACCTTAAGAAGTAGCTATGAAGGGCCCTCCCTGGTTGCACAATGGGTTAAAGTAAAGCACTACAAAGCTAGCTGTAGCCACTGCAGCTTGAGTTACGTCCCTGGCCAGGGACGTGACCCATATGGTGCAGGAGCGTTCTCTCGTCTTGCCCACTGCACTTCTCAGCAGTGTAGTTCATCAATCTGCCTGTTCTGTTCTCTGCTCTGTCTCTGGTGAACCCTCTCACTGCCCCTGCACCTCTGACTTGTACCCCAAATAAATAAATCTTAAAAAAAAATAGTAAAAGAAGTAGCTAACAAGCCTAAATTACTTCAGAGACAGGACTGTCTATAAATAGGGTTCTAAAAGAAATGCTGAAGAAAATGAGTTGATGATTTTGGCTAGCTATATATATATATAAATTGATTAAGTATATATACTTAATCAATTTGGTTTCATGTGCAATGCATTCCATTTAAAAAATAATCAGTTTAAGAAGGACACCTACCTTATTTTTAACCAATACTAGTTGCAAATGTTGCTTCTTGACACATTTATAGAAACTGAATTGATTCAGTGCTGATTTTATCCATGGGAAGAAAATATTTACATTCAGCATTGCACTTTCATTTCATTCTGACAAGTACTCACTCCTCATCAGTTTGTATTACTTTGCAAACACCTATGCTTTCTTCATAGGTGCTGCTATGACCCATTTCTTTTATGATCACTTCCAATGTCTACAATGATAAAGGTAACCATGTGTGAACAAGTATGAGCTAGTCCTTATAGAGGGAAACATAAGACTTGGCCTTTCAAGCATTAAGCCTGAAAGAAGGTTGAATATAGAAGATAACTCAGTTAAAGAGGTATCAAGAATGAACTTTTACCTATCATGTGGCTTTGAAATGAGGAATCTGCAATTGTGTCTTCATCCTCTTGCAGGTTTTCATGTGTCTCTTTTATCTGTAGCAACAAAAAAGTACTGTCAGCTCTTATTTATTATACTAAGTAGATTGCTCACAATCCTCAGAATGCTAACATTCCATAAACACATGGGTGTGTGGATTTTTTTTTCCATTCCATTTTTCCCTACTCTATAACTTGGCTTTATTACAAGTTTCAACTACAAGAGCACATTAAATTAATCCTAGTCCTGAAAGGAAGTATTTACAGGGTACTTAATTCAACATAAAATTTTGGAAATAACACATTTGCTTTTAATAATAAAGTCTGTAACACAGATCTGTTAGGAAAAATTCAAGTCTAAGGAAATATCATTCCTCCAAAATCAGTGATTTCCACCACAAGCCATTTTAATACAGATAAAGAAATAAATTTGATTGTGATCCTTTCCTAGAATATAGCTCTCTAAGAAAATGTCTTTTTTTTTTTACTCTTTCCATAATGAAATATGAGGTGACTTTCATGTGATCAGTGAACTAGTGAATTAACACATTTATCTACCTTTTTCAGGTCAAAAATAGTCCCCTTGTATTTCAGCAGGAATACCCAGATTCTGAATATCACCAAATGGAACACTTGAGAAAACCCAATAAAGTCACAGTATTTTACAAGTGAGAATTCTGAGAACCAATAAATTTGCATCAACGTGAGTGGCAACACTGAAACTAAAACCCACATCTGCTACCTCTAAATTTATAGCAGCAGCAGCAGCAATAATAACACACACTTGACACTATGGAGCAGATTCTGTTTAAACTCTTCACCCCTGTGATGCTGTCTTCCTCACAGCAAAGCTAGGAGATAGGTGATAGGAGATAGGTGCTAGTGTTAGCAACTTTTCTTACATATATTTTTTTACACTTATTTTGTTCATTTGTTTATTTAAGGCTTACTGAAAAAATATTTTTTGTTCAAATATATAAATCATACAGTGAAGAGCAATATTCATAGAAAAATATTTCTAGCCCACAGGAAGCTGCCTTTTGCCCATTTCCTTATAATACTACCATGGTTAATTGCTGTGCTCACTGCTGTCATCATAAATATACCTAGCTTGTTTTAAAATTTCATGTAAATGGAGTCATATAATATATACTTCTTTGGATTTCTTTCAGTCAATCTCAAGTGTAAGAGATTCATTTATGTTGTGGAGTATGGTAGTAATTTGGTCTTTTTATTGCTATGTAATATGTAATATTCCATAAAATGAATATTCCATAATATAGCTATTTCCTTGTTGATGGATTGATGCTAAGTGAAGTAAATCAGAAGGAAAAAGAAAAATATTGGAGGTTTCACTTATGTGGAAATATGGAAAAACCAAACGAAGGGCCAGACAAAGACAACCCCTGAAAACTGAACATATTTCTGAGGCATTCATGAGGGAAGGAGGAGAGGGGAGAAAGATGAAAATGGAGATGGGAAGGTATGGGGGGGAGAGCATATGGGAATCTGCTGATGAGCAATGGGTACTTTGGTGGTGGGAAAACTGCAGTGAACACACCAGAAGGAAGAGTTATGTATTGTCTAAAACTTAAAAAAAAAAAATCTTAGTAGAGACACTTGATCTAATTACCTCAAACCATCAAGGTTAACATCAGCAGTGGTAATTCATATTGATAGTATGTAGTGTGTATGATGTGATAATAACATGTGATAACTTGATATGAAGTGATGAAAACAGCTTTTATACCTTGTGATCTTTTTTGCCCAAACCTATGACTCCATTCTAATCATGAAAAAAACAAAGGTCCAGACAAAGGCAAAAAACAGATAGACAAATCCAAACAAAAAGATATTCTGCAAAAGAGCCAACCAATATGTCTTAAAACTGCAAAGAACTATGGTTACGGCACATGGGTGAATTAGTGGGAACTCCACAGGGATTAAACTGAGATGAAAAAATGCATAAACTTAACAATGATGTAAAATAAATAAATAAAATTAATAAAAAACTGGAAAGGACATCAAAGACAAAAGAAATTTAAGAGCCTCTCATAGTCAAGTGATAAAAAAAGATGATAACTAAATGAAATGTTGATGTTCTGGGTGGGATCCTAGAAACAGAAAACTGAATAAACTATGGATGCCAGTTAATAATAATAGGCTTAATAGGCTAATAGAATAGACAGGGTGTGGACTATATGGGAACTCTGCACTATGTTAGTAACTTTTCCATAAATACTAAACTTCTAAAAAATTTAAACTTATTGAAAATATACATAAAAGGACCCTCCCTGGAGGCATAAGGGATTAAAGTGCAGCACTATGAAGCTATCTGCAGCCACTGCAGCACAAGTTAAGAGCTCAACCCCTGGCCAGGGGGGTTACCCACATGGTGTGGCAGACCTCACTTATCTCGCTTGCGGTTCCCTTCAACAGTGTGTTTCAGTACATATGCCTGTTGTGCTCCCCAATCTGTCTCTGGTGAATCCTCTCACCACCACCCCCATACCTTTGGCCTATAGCTTAGTTCTTGCACGTGTAAATAAATAAAACTAAAAAAAATATATATGTATATGGCAAAAATGACAAACAGGAATTTTAAAGATTAGACTCTGGAGAAATACACAACATAAGTACAAGTACAAGTGGTAAAAGTAGTAAGTCTGGCTTGAGATCTGTGTTTATTTGGAGGAAATTTGCTATTCTCAAATTTCCATTTGACTATAGCAGTGTAGACTTGTCCTCTCTATCAACAGCTGAAATCTTTGTCAGAATGACCTTCAACAACTCTTTTATTTTTTGTATTTTATAGCAATTACTTTTTATTTTTTAATTTCATTTCCCCCACTAAAATAGTTCTTTAAAACACATTCTAGCAGTCACCTGGGCAGCCAATGATAATAACCATGCGAGAAGTCAGTGGGTGCTCTGAATAGATATAAATGTCAGAAGTTGTCAACAGATTGGCTCAGGGGCTTGAGGTTAAGTTCAAGAAGCCTGTATTTTATACTCATGATACAGAAAGGCATATGGTTGCACAATGACACTGAACTAGATTTAGCTCTTACTTTTTAACCTCCTATTTTTCATATTTAATGGAATAAACCAATTATTTATGTTTTATGATTGCAGTTCCAACATAAATGTAAGAGCTGCTTAATTTGTATATACAGGTTGCCAGAAAGTGGCAAATTCAGGAGGGTATGAGATGGTGACATGAATCCTATGGGAGAGAGGACTAAAGGTTCATACTTTAAGGGCCATACTTTCCCCCCCACATAATCTGTCTCCTCTTTGGGGCATGGAGTTAACAACTCCAGAGGAAGAAAATTAAGAAAGGGGAAGGAAAATTCTTTATTAACAAATTTTGTTTCTAGTATTGCACATTTATAGATGGAAGGGAAAATGCTGAGCTCATCAGTAAGGTTAATGTGTTACTTATTACCTTCCAAAGTTTACCTAGTACAATGAACTATTTGTGATAAACTACAAAAATACCCACTACGGAAGGGGTCACTTAAGCACCTTAACTTCTGTTAACAATCCATGAGAAATTTTCTACCTTTATTTATGGAAACACCAAGAAAATGTTCATATTTTTTGCTCTTATCATCCTTTTTGGAAATATGTTCCCTGTTTTCTTCACCTGTTCATAAAATATATTGTCCTTAGGTTTTTCTAAATTGACCCAGTTTAAACTTAGGAGTGCACTGTTAAAATGTTGGAACATGGATGAATCATCACTACCATTAACCTATGAAATTCTAAACTAAACCCAATCATCAGAATGAGATTTTTATCTTACAGATAAAAAAAGCTCAGAGAGGGCTAATGATCTACTCAAGATCACACAGGATTTTTTTTTTTAAATACATATCATCAACATTTTTTGTTGTTGAAGTAGCATTGCCTTATAACATATTAAGTTTACAGGATTTAGTTAAAATGGGTCCAACTGACTTCTAGTCACTGACGGAATGCAGATTTTCAGACTGTGTCAAGCGGTTTTATAGAAAGACCTTCCCAAGAACCTCTATATCTTTTCTTAGTGTCTGGCCATTAGATATGTACCCAGTATTCTAAGTTTATGTAAACTACACTTGTATTTAAGAATAGCAACATTTTCAATGTGTGTGCATGTATGTAACTGCCCTCTTTTCCTTCCTAACCACCACTTTTCTCCAAGTATTGAAGGTAATAAATGACACAAAAAACATATTGAAATGTTTCCTCTCAGCTTCCTGTCAGAACCATTGTAGGGCTACATGTACTTTATCATAAATGCCAAATGGCCGGTTACTGGAGGAACTGGGTTTGTAGACAAGACACTTAGTTCTTTCAGGTTTCCTGGGCAAGATGGGGATAGTTGCAAAACCAGGAAATTTGGCAAGTGTTTGACTCAGGAGTGACTTATAAATCTAGAAATTTCTCAACCATTACTCTACTAAGGAAGGGCACAAATCAACATCAGGAATGACCCATTTGCTAAGAAGTAGGAGTAACTTACAGACAACATCAATGTACTGCTTTTGGTGGAAGTCTATGGTCAGTATATTGAACAAAATGATGGTGTAGCTCTCTTTTTTCAATTGAGGTGAGTTACAACACAGTATACATCTAACTCTTGCCCATCTTTTGGGTCTACAGTTACAGTTAAGAAATCTACCAGTACCAAATAGAGTCTTTATCAGGTCTAACAGGTAACCTTTACATCAATTTTAGAATTAAACAATATTTGAGGACACTTCATTTGGAGTTATGTACCAAATAATTCTCTGAATCATCCTCACAACTTTTTTTTTTGACAAATTCACTAAAAAGGGAAAGGGCATAATGAACATAAGTGAGAAAAAGAAATTATCCTTGGAGGGAGAAGATCCCTCCCAGAAGGCTAGTCATTTAGAAAACTCTGCAAGAGGAAGGCAACATACACATAATTCTTATATTATGTCAAAATAGCATTTAAAACAGAATTGTTCAATTAAAGATATTGAAATTACAATATTTTGCAGAATTTAATAAGATGGTACCAATGTATATAATTACAGCACTATTTTATCACCATAGTAACATTTTAATGGGATGGAATTTGATGCTCTTTTATTAGCATATGTGTTTTTTTTTTTTTCCTTCAGACTTTGTGGCACTGGGTGAAGAGATTGCTCATAATTTAAGATACCTATATTAAAATGGCCATCTCTTTCTACTGCCTGATGGAAGTATATGCTCTCATTAATTTTGTTAGTGATTTTTATTTTGTCCAGTGATAGTTAAATAGAAGTCTGGCGCTGTCTTCCTTTGAGGCTTCTCATTTCAGAAGATTATCTAAATCCACAGGAAGGAAGGACTTCCAAAATGTAGCAAACAGTGTACATTTCTTTCTTACTAATTTAGTAAGAATGCAATCTTTCTAGGGATGCCTTGCTCAATCTAAATTACACAAAAATTCGAGATAAATGGTCTATAAATTATAGACATAAACCTGTTAGTAGGACCTCTATGTGTATTTTACAATGTATTTAGCAATCTTGAAAATGGATATTCGGATACTTGTGAACTAAGTGGAAATCTGCTACATACATAGATTTGTTGTACATGTGGAAATAATCTATTTTTTTAAATCAATATTATAGTAAACTAATTAAAATGCTTTTGACCTTCATAACTAAGTCTTACTTTATAAAGGGTAAGGTGCATTATTTTGTATTATTTTCAAATAGTGGATTTCTTCAGGAAAAAGTATGATCTATAACACATTATACAAAGTTTTTGTTTTCATCCAAAATAATTATTATATGATTTTTTTAACAATTTAAAATAAGCAGACAGCAAATTAATTTAAGCTCTAGTGGGGGAAAAATTCCCCTACACTCTGAATTTTAAAAGATTCATGGGCATACACAACAGCATGCTGTAATATTGGAGCATATTTTGATTTTAAGCTCCTTCTATAAAGGCTGGCAATATAATAAATAGACTTTCCTTGCTCTTCTTATGCTCGTCCCAAAAGAGACTATGATAATGTCCGTTCTGAAATTAATAATTTTAGCCCAATCTACACTGATGATTATGGAGATGAAACAATAACAACAACAACAACAACAACAACAACAAACCACTGAATTTTACATTAAAAAATGACTAGCTGGTCAACTATTCAGGTTAGTATTATTCCTCTGTGTGAAAAAGCTTCCTAGCATAACTAATTTCCTTTTGCAGGTAATAGAAAAATTAGCATATTCCTATTGATTTTGTATGTTTGCGGTGGTTAGGGAATCTTCATACTTCACAGAAAAAAAAAAAAAGATTGTTTCTTGCAGATATCCTAGAAGGACCAAAGGACACTTATTACTACATGGTAGATTGTAGATGAGAGGAAAAGCACGACGAATTACTTTAGCATTAGAAAGTAAAAATGAAATTGTGCCAGTCCAAACAGAGGGTCTCTTTTTTGTTTTTTGTACTTCTGCACAGTGAAGATATACCCTAAGCTGTCAAAACCATATTAAATGGAGTATAGTTAAATTGAGTACCTCTGATAAGGGCTCTGCCAGACTATCAAAGTTTTAGATCAGTAGGATTGAATTTCTGGCATATTGCACATTTCGACACTTTCATTCTCTTCCCTTTCAGTGACACCACAAGGGCAGGCCTAGATATGCTTATAATTTGTGGTTTTATAATGCAGCAGGTATCTCCATTTTCAAAGAAGGCATGCTGCCATAGAAGTCGACAGCAAAAATGAGGGAGAAAAAGAAAAACTCCAAAGAATATAATCTGTGTATGATTTCCAAAAGTTTGAAAAAGACGTTATAGCTCTTCAGAGTGAAAAATCTATTTGATGAAGAAGAAAATAATGTGCTTTTGTTTCAAAATAAAGTATATCTGTAAAACTTCAAAGAAACCTAAACATCAATAAGTAATTAAGCTAATAATTAATAATAGGGCCAATCAGGATTATTTCTCAAGTTTCTTCTACTCTTGAACTACTCCAGAAAAAAAAGGTGTAATTAATTCCTATGCTAAGTTTTTCATAAGAAAATGGTAGCATGTACTGAATCTTAAATTCTCTTTTATTAAATATAAAAATATATAGATGCGTTCATATTTTGTAAAGAGTTTTTTTTTATTCAAATGCTTAAAAATTTATAAAAAGGAACGGTGAACAATACCAAATCAGTTATGTAAGAACAGAAAAAAGACTATAAAGAGAGAAATTGCAATTACCCAGGGAGGATTTTTTTTTTTTTTTAAGTTTCTTTGTATTCTTAAAGGAAGTCAACCCTTTAGGGTCTTGAACTCATAATTAAAAGATGATGTGGTAGAGAATCAGATTCCAAAGTGTTTCTTTTAGTTTGATTACCTTCTGTCTCAGTAGGATGATTCAGTTAAAACAAATACTTAAAATAATTTTCAGTTGTTTAATTAAAAAGTCAATTCTCTTAAACTGTTGAGTACTTTGAGTTTTTTAATCATCATGTCATTCCTTTGTAATATGGCTGGAAATAATTTCAAAACAGATTTCTGAGACAAATGTGTGATTTGAAGATGGCATCAACATCATCTTTTGCCTACACCTGACTACAAAGATGAGCTCAAAGGTGGTCCTGCTGGAGGAACCACAGCCATTGCAACATGGCTGCCATCTCTTAGACAGTTACCACTAGGATTTCTCTCCCTCTAGCTCTATCTTTAACTTTCTTCTCCCCATATTCTCTTAGCAATAACTTTTCAACTGCAAAGGGTAGAAAGAACCCAAGCGTGCACTTTATAACCAGTACAGAGGAACACTTACCAGGGAGGTTTTCGGGATTTCCATATCAACTTTGGTTTTGATGCTTTTCTTGTGGTTTCCTTGAGTGCTGATAGAGCTGCTGGTGAGACAGGAGCCCTGGAAGCTGCCCTTTAACATGCTCCTGCAGGAAACATTATTTGATCCACTTTCTGTCTGTTGAACTGCTTTCTTATCAACTCTGCAGGTAGAAAGTGATTCCTCTGATAAATTACATTGCTCTTCTTCAATCACTCTACTTTTCCCAGTCTCTTAATGTTTAAAGTAACCTCCATGTGTCTCTTTGTCCTGCAACCTTTGCGTGATAAGTGTTTCTCACAGGCCTTGATCAAACTTCATCTGACATTCCGTCAGTGTGCCAATTTAGATTTGATAATTTAGTAATTTATTTTTAATTTTGTGTCTATTTGTGAGACTGGGGATGGGGACAAAATAACCTCTGAAGAGTGATCGCTAAGTACATTCTGGCATACGATTGCAGGAAGTATAATTACCTCTTCAAAGTTCTAAGTATACATTTGCTTGCTACAATCACTGAGATCGGCATACTTTAAAATGTATGTATAATTTTCTGCCATTTCATGCCATGTGGGTACATTCATGGATCTGAATGTAGGCTGAATTTCTATCAACCTTGATAAAACTTACTGTTCTTTAATTTCAAAGACCATTGGTTTGGTTAACAATGTAACATGGGCTAAATTATCATTTTATTGATAAATTTTATTTCATTATTTAAATTCTGGCTCATGTATAAAAGACTGCTACTATGTTTTTCTGTACAAAAGGCATTTGACTGACATTTAATGTGCAGGAAGCAAACAACTCTCTCCTTTTGGTGGGGCACCCCTCAATATTACCACTCTCCTTGCCTATTAGTTACCTGTTCAAAAGTTCGGTCATAAAGGTATCTTTTGTTGAATGTGTAACAGGACTGAGTCTATTACTTGGTTCAAATTTCATCTCGTTGTAAATGTTTTGTGGTGCTCTCAGGTCACTTCTGCTTTGTAAGCTACTGTTTGGACTATCTGTCAGCTCCATGTCCCTGTGAAGCTCGCTGTCCGCCTCACACAAAAGCTCAGGCTTCTTTTTCTCTTTTTTCCTCTCTGATTTTGGCTGTTTGTTTCCAAACCCCAACCCTTTTGTATCTTTTTTGTCCACTTTGGTTTTGGAGACATCCATTTTCCTGCTACTGAGAGCTGGTAGTCTACTCCTTCGAAAACCAAACCAGCTGGCAAACGAAGGCCCTGGCTTCGGCTTTGCTTCCACAGAGCTGGACTTTGTTTGCACTTGGCCCTTCTCCACATTTTCCTGAATACACAACATGACCTTTTCTTCAATTGTGGGTGATAGGGAGGCTTCTGGGTTCACAGCACTAGCCCTAGTTGTATAAACTTCTGTACATCTTCCAGAAGTTTCTGCCTTGGAGGTCCTGCTTGTTTCAAAATTGCTTGGACACTGTGTCCTCCCTGGGATATGCAGGGCTCGTGGGCAGTCTGTTGGGCATCTACAGTGGTCACTGCCTGGTTCCTCAGGGACAGCCATATTGGGGCAGCTACCTTGGGTGATGGCCTGGTGTTCTTCTGTTCCAGGGGGAGTGACGAGCCCTTCAGATTTTGGAGGAATCCTTAAAGGCAGCTTTCTTGGGCTTCCATGTTGGCTGCCAGAACTGCCTGTACTCCCCAGGGAGCCTTGCCTGGAAGAGGGATGCCCCAGGGACCTGCCAGCACTGGGGAGCCTGTCAGGCAGGGGAGCAGATGGTGTCTTGTTGGGAGAGCCTTCTGTGGAGGAGCTCTGCCGGGTAAGGGAATTGCCTCTCTCAGCAGTGTTGGTAATGATTTGAGTTCGGACCTTGCCTGGCCCTTCTATGGTGGATGTGCAGGGCTTATCTCCTGAATGGGCACTGAAGCTCTGGCTTCGGGCTTTGGCTCCATTCATGCCTAGAGCTGGCTTTAGGTGTGGCTTGTTGGAGGAAAGGGACTTTTTCATAAACTTGCTTTCTACCCCATCTTTTCCATCAGCCCTAGGGGTACCACTTTCTGATAACTCCGGCATTACTGTTTCCAAGGGAATCCCTTCAGCCAAACCGTCTCGTGCTTGTAAACTCAGTGGAATACTGTTATGTTCAGCACCTGTGGTCTCAAGGATAGATAGGTTCCTAGAGTCCCCCGCCTTGAACTTGACTGCAGCCACAGAACTTTTAGAGGCCTCATTTAAGCTGTCTTTTTCCTGTTTCCCTGGTACCGTGGAACTTTTCCTGAGCAATTGGGGAGACTTCATGAGAACTTTGAGTCCAACTGGGAGGCGAGTTTTCAGTCCTTTCTCATGAGTACTCTGACAACCAGGTGGGGTGTTATGGCTTCTGGGAGATGGTGATGAGGAGGGGCTGTTAACCTGAGATGATGGTGGTTCACTTACCCTTTGGAAGGAAGACTTGGGTGATGTGGAGACACAATCACTCAACTGTCCTTTTCTTCCTGGAGGTACACTTTTAGAGGATGATATTTCCTGTGGCTCATGGGTTTGAGGATAATTCTTGGGAGTTCGTAACCCTGTGTCTGTCTGTGTGGTCCCAAGTGTTTGGTGAGATGGGGTCTTGGTGACACTTCTCTTTGGAGAGGTCTTTGGGTACACTGGGGTCACCACAGCAAATGAACTAGAGGGGGTATGAGCAGAACATTTGGTTTGAATCACTGTTTCTGTGGAGGGAAGAGAGTGAGGGAAAATAGACTTTTTGAAGGCCATAGAAGTTTTCTTCCCTTGCACTTCTGTCATAGTCTGATTAGAAGAAATGACAGGAGCAGAAGATTCTTTGAGAGGGGAAGATTTGAATACTGTCCTTGCTGTTTCACTGGGGACCCTGGCCTCGGGTTTGGCAGAAGAAGGTGGTGACAGATAGTCATAACTGGACCTGATGTGTAGGGAGACTGACCTTCCTGGAGGGGGTGGAGGCGAGGGTGATTTCACCCGAGCCTCTGGCCCAGAGTCAGAACATTTACCCCTGGAGATTTCTCCATCATCACTAGGCTCAGTGAGGCACCTTGACAGCAGCTGTGATGTTGGAATCTGACTCTTGGGGCACTGTACCCAGTCTCTTCTGCTGGACATTTTGGAGCCTGGAGGAAGCTGGGTGAGGTGTTTTGGAATGTGTGTATCTGGCTGTAAATCAAAGAGTGAGGCTGAGCCTTCAGTCTTCTTGAACCGTGAGAGTTTTCCAGGAGCTAAGGCTGGTGATTTTTCAAGAGTCATTGGGTCACATGAAAGAATTCTCATAGTGGCTTCAGGTTCCATTATTTTTGATTTCTGGGGGGAAGACTTGCCCCTGGCAGGTATTTTTGTCAGACTTTGCTTCTGATAGCTACCAATGGGCCCTGAAGTCCTAGCATGACTCTTACAAGACAAATTGTGTGTTGACTTTGTCAGCTTTTGTCGCTGAGTATTTTGTGCCATTGTTGAAAGGTTCAATGGTTGAACCTTTCTAGGGTTGAAAGATTCAATGGGTGCCTCAGCAACATTATCTAAATCACCTTTTGGAATGTTTTTCTCAGTTTCCTCTTCAGATCTCTTTAAGAAAGTACAGTCTCTTGCAGTAGCTTCTGACTGCAAATGAGCAATTCCCTGAGGTAAAAGTTCAGTGTGTTCTGCTTTGGGTCCAGGACAGGGCTGCTTGATGGAAATTTCATTTGTGGTAAGAGTAACAAGACCAGTCTGGTGAGAAGTGAATTCAATGGGTTCACCATCTTCTGCATCAAACACTACAGTAATACATTCTTCTGAGGAAGTTCTTTTCACAACCCTTTGCTGCTTAATGAAACCGGATGTCTTTGGCCTAGTCTCGAAGTGGATGGAAACTTGTTTTTCCTCCTCACGGGGAGACCCAAGTTGAGATTTGCCAAATTCCATGAGGATGTCCAGGTTCTCCATGGACTTGTCAGTGTCAGCAGTCAGTGACAAGTCTGAAGGGCTTTTCCCATCACTGCTCTCTATGTGCAACTCGTCAAGGGTTTCATTGTCATCGGTATCTGAAAGCTGGAGACTGATGGCCATGCAGCCCTGGTTGTGCAGGTCCCCCTCTCTCTGTATCTGAGGAACTTGCACTTTTGGGTACACTTTCCTGTCCAAGGGATAGTTGCTGACACAACGGGTCAGCTTTTCAGCCCTTTCCCTGGGATAAATTGAGGAGGTGCTTTCTAAAAAGTGTTTCCTATTCAGCTCCAGGCCAATAAGACTATCAGAAACACTATGGGTTAATTTACAAGCATGCAGCCTGCAGCCCTGGTTGGATACTGCTTGAAGCCATGCTAAAGAGGAAGAGTCTTCATCAGCATCATCGTGGGAATCTGTGTCATAAACAAATGCTTTGCGCGGCTCTGTGTAGGGGCTTTCCATCTCAGTCGGCTTGCAGGGAAGGTACTTCTTGAGGCTACTACTCTTAATTCCTGGTGAATATATTCCTTCATTTGAGTTCATGCAATCTTTATAACCCCATTTGGTTATTACAGATGGGGATTCAAGTAACACTTTTTGCTTTTGTAGCTTTCTTAGTCCTTCCAAAATGTGGCTTTCTTTGACACGAGTTGGAGGTAGTTCATCTGTAGGACTCGCAAAGCCACTTGGGAGTGAAGAGCCAATACTTAGTCTTTTATCCCAGTTTTGTGATGATGGCTAGGAAAGAAAGGTAGATATAAGAAAAGATTGAATCACATCAATCATGGATATATGAAAGCAAAAGTTTCTCCTTGGACTTTGTTTTGTCTATTAAATATTAAACTATAAATGCATGTAGATTAATTTAAAAGCTACCTAGAAAATCTCTAATTTGCCAGGCCCTAAACTAAGCAGCACAAGATAGAAAATCCCTGTCCACAAGGATTATACAACTCAGCAAAGGAAAGTAAGCCAAAGGGGAAATGATAAGCATAGATATAGTTATTTTAGATATTCAGAAAAAATTTGCTTGGAAAAATATTAAAAAACAACAGAAAAAAATCAAAACCACCTTGTTTAGAATGATGGGTACATTTGCCTTAGTTTAAAGGTGGTGAGAATGATTTATGGGTAGATGAAACATGACATGAAAGACCTAAATTGGCAAGTTTTGTTCCAGACACACAGAGACAATAATCAAAAGACACTAGGGCCTCACTGTAAAATAAGGATGAGAGGTAGAGGGTAACAACTGATAGAAAAGTAAATTGCTCCCAGTTTTTATGTTTCCTTCTTTTCTAACATTTAATAGTACTGTGATTTCATGTCCTTAATTGTTAGGCAGTATATTTATGTGAAATGTATACACAGCATTTGCTGTTAGAAACCACAGTAATGATTCACCTTCTAACTTAGGAAAGTCAATTACCTGTCCTTTATATTCCCCCAAATATTAATATTATTTCTGGGCAAGTGATAGAGAAGATCAAGAAACGACACAGAAGAGACAAAGAGAAATGACACAGAAGAGACAAAGTATTCAACACCGACATTATATGTTTCAGTGACATAGTATCAGTGACAAGATTAGGGAAGCACTGATGGAAGGAACTCATGTTCACTAAGCATCTTCTATATACTGGCCACTTACACAGAACTTTGATTTAAAATTTACAACACCATGAGGGAAACATTATCAGCCCAGCTGTACTAGGTAGGGTTGGCAAGATTAATATGTTAAAGATCATATAATTAAAGAACTGGAGAAAAGCTTTGGATTCTGGTTTCTTGAGTTCTGGCTTTTCTGAGTGGTTTGGTGGGAATTTGAATCAAGGGCTGTCTGGCTCTACAGCCTGCACACATCATCTACTAAAGTCAAGCTTAACCCTTCTCCTCCCCTCTATATTAGTCAATGTCATAACAGAGGTCATAGGTTTTCCCTATACCGCTCTTGCAGAATTAATTAATATGTTTGTTTATTTATTTATTTTACTTTGTTCCCTAATCTTACAGACTTTAATCACAAATGAGGGAAATTTTTGGCATGTGAGTACTGATCTACTGACTTCTTATAAAAGGCCTGACTGGCTAATGGTGAAGATCTTCAATGAATGAATATGATGGTTTCAAATGTGTACTTTGTATCAATCTGGGCAGTTCCCATTGGTACCTCCATGCCAGCTGCCCCACCCCATCCCATAACTGTGTTCATAACCATGTGTTCATATGCTGAGGTGGAAAGTGTCAGAAACTCCCTTTAGAATCTTCACACTTTAATAAGCCATGCATGTTTGCTTTCATCTAAGATAGTTCCATAAAAATTACTCTTGCTTGTTTATGCTTTGCTCTATGTTGGGGTTAGAAGTGGGCTTCCCTGGTAGCACAATGGTTAAGGCCCAGCACTATGAAGCCATCTCAGCCACTGCAGCGTGAGTTTGTTTCTTAGTCAGGGAGGTGACCCATGTGGCATGACAGGCCTCTTTTGACTCCACAGCTTCCCTCAGGTGTTCCCTTATCTGTCTATGATAACCCCCCGCAACTCTCGTCCTTACCCCAGTTCTGTATACATAAGTAAATAAATCTTAAAAAAAAAAAAAAAAGAAGAATCTGCTGCAGATCTATGCTACTTGGTGCTGCTTCCCCCCTACCCTACCCTGTCCCTCAAAACCATTAAAAACCCGTTCAGAAATCAGAAGAAATCCCATTAGTAAGTGTGAGTATTATATGTCAACCATGAGTGGGTTGCCACATTTTGGTTCTATAAAATTCCATGATCATAATGGCTACAGTCACAATATAAGAAGAGAAGCCAGTCAAAGTGCATCACAAAGTACCTCACATATTTGTGAAAAAGACAAACTTGGTCAGTCCCCAGAAGCTGTGCTCAGTGCTGCCCACACACCACCTTTGTACCTCCCAAGAACTGGTACATACTGTAGTATGATTCACCCCAAAGCCCTCAGTGAAAATATACTCAGGTCCAGGCACTCTGTTAAGTGATATGAGCCACATCCCTCAATCAGTTTGACAGGCTGCTGTGCTATTTGATAATTTAAGTTTAGAACAATCTTGAAAGTTTAATAAATAAACAAACAAACATGAATTCCCTGTGGGAGCAATATGGGGAGATGCTGGCATTTCTCACTGGCAGATTCCTTCTTTACTGGGAAGAGTTGATTAAAAGATGCTGTTGATTAAAAGATGCTGCTGATAAGGTAGGGGCCTGGCTTTAATGTACACAGTCCTTTTCTGTTTTTTGACAACAACTCTAAGCAATTGTTTAAAATGACATTTGTGGTCTTAATGGGAATTTATTCATTCTAATTGGAGCCCCACCAAATTTTAGGTTAGAAGAGCTGAAAAGTTATGAGTGAATGTTGTGGAGCTAACTTCTCATCTCTGCCACATAATAGTCATGAGATCTTGGGCTAGTTACTTAATTTCTTGGTTCCTCAGGTCTCTCATCTGTAAAACAGTGGAGATAGGAAAATATACCTAATAGGCTGTCATGAGCATTAAATGGACTAACACTTAAGAAGTGCTAACAATGTTGTGCAGCACTTGGAAATTACTCCCTATGGTCAGATTCCTTCCTGTAGAGCAGGGTAATGCACTTCAGGCAGGCTTTCATTTTGTATCTATACACAATAGTATTAAAAAAAAAAAGGTAAGATGCGAAATATTAAAGTCACTGGAGATAAATATATATATCACACATACATATATATAACAAATTTATGTCCAGTAAGTTAAATTATAGTCATATTCAAATTGATATTATAAGAGCTTGGTAGGTTAGTACACAACAAGTACTTGGTACATGACAAAAACTGTAAAAGTTCCTTAAATAATATAAATTTATAATGTCTTTCCAGGACTGGTGTAGTTTGCTTGGCCCCTAAGAATTAGGAATTTCTCTGTGAGATGTGACAGTGTGCCCTTGACCACGATGAGATAAAACCTGCTTGAATCCCCTGATCATGGCCAATTAAGTGCATCTGAGTATTTTAAGAATCTTTGCTCCTCTCATTTAGGAAAGAAGTCGAGGGTTATTCTACATGGAAGCTTTTCAGTCAAGAAACAAAGAGCGAGACAGAGAGAAAGAAAGAAAAAGGAAGAGGCTGAGGAGAGAGAGAGGAAGAGTTTAAGAGTGAAAATGTCTGAGCCAGGGACATTCTAAGACAAAGAGAGGGGACATCCTTGACCATCTTCCCTGCTAAGAGCCAGCACCCTAAAGATCATTATTAAAACTAAAATCTTAGTAATGTACCAGCCTCTATACTTTGCATCAGGAGTCTGAATCCAAGGGAATATTTTTTAAATTCAAACTTGAAGTCTTTGAGTTCTAATTCAGGGTATTATAAAGCTACTACCCTTCTGGTAGTTTTGTAATTTTCATGGTTTTTACAGTTCCAACACCGTAAATTAACAATACAAACATGATTATGGGTTTCCATTTTTATGTATTCTTTGCTTTTCTTCAACAACAGGAAACTTTAAAGACAAGTTATTTCAAATATTTGGCTTACACACCTATGCAAAGAGGTTTGCTCAAAGCAGGAAGGAACTACAGTTTTGAGTCTACTTGCAGGACATTCTAGCAATAGGAATGACTGAAAAATCTGGTAAGGGAACTCCTGGCATGTAAGTAGAGATATGCTTGCCTTCACTAAAGCTGTGGTGCCTCTCATCCACTGTAGTGTTTCTCTCTGTATTAGGCTGCTCTCCAATTTAGAGTCAATTAGTGTTTTATTAGGTCATAGCTTTGATCAGGAGAGCAATATGCCATTGCTCTGAAAATTTATTTCTGAGAAGTAAATTCTGACAAAGCTAATGATACCTCTAAAACTTTAGTGATTTGTTTTGAGATATTCTACAATCCTCCTTTTTCTCTAGAAAAAAAAGCATTCCCTGGAGTTTTCATGGGATGCTTGGTCTAGAATAGTTTGGCACATGGCCTTGCTTACTTTCATTTGCAGGGGACATTAGCAAGTCTCTCTGAGCATCACAGTAGCAAAGGATGTCCATGACAATAATTGGAAATATCTGACTTGGTGTGAAGCATGGTCAGTTCCACTAGTTTGGGGTTCCAGGACACAGTTTGGTATCAATCTGGGAAGTTGGTGGGATCTTCCAAAGCATAGGAGGAATATGTTTTCTTTTCCCAGACAACCTCCCCTGATGTTCAAGTCATTTGGGTCAACTCATTCTTCTCCTCACTTGTTGGGGTGACTCCTAACTAGTAACCTTTTTGAGCTGATTTCCTCTTTTATATACTGGAGAGACTAACATCTCTCTAGCTAGAGTACACACGTAGGTAATTAGTAAGTGGTCATCTCTTTCCTAGTGTTCTTTCTCACCATTTACCTTCCTAATAGAAGAGGATGATTTTCTGGCTCACTCTGATGCTGAAATGCCTTCAAAAGAGGCCTTACCCTTTTCCTGAGGCTCTTCCCATCATGCCACGTGTACGAGGAGCCACTGGAGTACTCGCTGCAGGTGCTTGAAAGAGACAGTTCACTGCTGCTGCAGCTATTTCGAGGATAGAGATGACCAGGAATGAAAACCCCCAAGCCAGGGCATTTCAAAGCAGGGGCTCCTGATTTGGCATTCAGCTGGCATTCCTGAAAAGGCAGGACAGCGCTGAGCTAAGACTCTGATTATGGGAGAGTAAATATCAACTCTACCTCACAGTGAGGCACAGAATGCTGTGATGAGAAGCACACATACCGGATTCAGACAGACTAGGGTTCAAATCTTTGTGCTACTTCTTACTAACTAGGGAATATTATTTAATTTCTGGGGCTACATTTTCAATTTTAAAAGGGTATTACGGTAATATGTCTACCTATGGGGTGACTACAAGGATCAAGTGAGATTCTAAATGCATATGGCTCAGTAGTTGGCTACATAGGTGCTTAGTTATTACAAGCTACCTCCATCATCAAGCGGATGTATCAGTATTACAATGGTAATTTCTCATTTTACCAGTTGAGCTGGTTAAAGGATTAGATCAACATCAAAATGACTCTAAAGCTACAAATGGATGAAGACAGAGTAGCATCTTTGGATGTAAGAACATAAACATGGGGCTGAGAATCTGGTGACCTGTATCACGGGATATACCTGGCACTTGCTCTGAGATCTGGAGCAAAAGAAGCATTTAACTGCCATGGAACTTAATGTTCTCATCTGTGGGGCAGCTCTACAACATCACTCTTCTGATTCTGTAGGGTTCTGATGACATCATTCTAAGTCAGAAATCAAATATCCAGGAAGCCATGTACAACAGAACACTCTACTCAAGAACTATGAGTTTCTGCTCTCAAAGAAAATAGACTTTTCTTATTAGTTGATTGTCAAAACTACAAAGACTCTAACATCAGATAGATTTGGGTCTCACATAGAAAACGCAGGTAGAATTCTAAAGGGTCTGTGAAAGGCATGTGATATAGTTGTAAACATTCCCACACATCTTGACAGCCACATCATAGGCCCTAGTGTAACAGATGAAGCTCTACAAACTGGACAGGCTAAATTAATTTAGCCTCCCTACCACTAGAATGCAATCTCTCCATTAACATTTCCTGCTAGTCTCCTATCTCTATAAAGCTCTGTTTCAGAAACTCTTTGATATAGACCCATCTGTCTTTATGTCACTTGCAGAATAGCACAGCCTCTTAGCTATGCAATTCACTGACACTTCAAGGTGCTGTTAGTACCTGAGTAGTTATCATTGTTCTCCAAATGCAACTCCAGGTGATGGTGACTAAACACCAGCTGGAGGAAAGGGGGTAATGCTATTCTGGGAGTACTTGTGGTACATGGTAAGCCCCACATACATAACGGAGGGCATGTTTAATTTGCTTTCTAATCAATATCCCTAACACTTACTAATGTTAGTTTCAATATCAGGCAAATGCCTTGCTGTAGATACTTCAGTTTCTGCAGCATAATAGTGATCTAAAAATGCCAAGAAATTTTATTACACTATTTCCTCCTTGTCCCCCTGAAATTTGGTGTCAATAACACGAAACAAACAAAAAGGTCTTAAAATCCAGCTTTCTGCAATATTTATTGATTTGTAAACTTGTCAATTGCCTGAGTTTAGGGAACTTCATATTTGTCTCTGAACAGCTGCCTACAAGCACTGATGCCGCCCACCCTAGGTGCCTGGCATCTGCTCCAATTGTTGCACACATATGGATTGTATCTTAAACATTCAACATCACAAACAGCTCTACTTCCACTTGTGTGCATTTCATTTTCTCCACCCTGTTCTCTTATATTTTGTTGCTTGAGTAAGCAGGGGGTGGTCTTTAAGATGATTTCTTTTCTGATAAATACTTTTAAAGTATATATATATATATATATTAGTTTATTTTTACATCATTTTGTGCATTTTTCCATCTCATTTGCAATCCCTTGGGCTTCCCATCACCGAATCACCCATGTGTCATCACCATAGTCCAGTGCATTTTTTTGATCCCACTCCACCCCACAAAATGTCTCTGGTCTCTATATAGCTGTTCATCATTTCTGATAAATACTTTTACTCTCCAGAGAGAGGGTGTATCTGTGTCCTGAGAGGGCATCCAGGCTAAACTTTTCCAGTGATCCTTTTACACTGCACACCTTTTGGTTAGGGCTTATATTCTGCCTTTCCCAAGGGATGAGAATTCTGTCTTTTGCACCCATCCCTTTCTGCTATATCTATCAAAACCATACCTATTTTTATGACTTGGTTTATTTCTCTGGCTATTTTAAATATAAACACACTCCCCCAGTTGTCACCCATGAATATAGATGTTGGAATTAAATAACAGGAAACTGGAATTCAGAAGATGAGCAGAAGGAAGGAACAGTTGCCACTCCCCTATACTGGAATTTTGATTTGCCAGTGTATGGGGGCAGCAAACCAGGGTACGGGGGCAGGCTCATCACTGTCACTGGAAGCAGGTTTTCACACTTTAATGTACACGTGAATCACATGGATTGTGTTAAATGCAGTCTCTAATTTAGTAATTATAAGGTGGGAACTGAGAAGCAATCTTTTTAACAAATTCAGGGAGTTTGCAAAATGCTGGTGCAAGAATTGTGCTTTGCATAGGAAGGCTGTTGGAGAAGCTGTGAGAGAAGATGTCCTCTTGTGTGGTGACCTGGTGGCTGTTATGCCACCTGACCTGGCTCTGCAGAGTAAAATGAAGGGGATGGTGATCCAATCCTCCCTACTGGGAAATTCTCCCATCTTTCCCCCACACCTTGGATGATTAATGCTTGGTTTGAATTAGGGAGCCAGAATCTCTGATACCACACTGTGACATCCACCCCTTTGTCCTGGAGACCCCTTCATCAACACATGGGTATCACATAGGATTATCTATACCAGTGAATCTACCTCAGTTTTGTGGTTTAAAACATGATCATCAAGATCATTTATTAGCTTTGAATCCTAGATGTTTCAGTTACAAACTCTTTGACCTAAGGAAAACTGCTTAACTCCTCTATGCCTCAGCCTCTTTGTAAATGGAAATAATGAAAGCACCTACCATACAAGAACATTGTGAAGATAGGGCAAACCCTGTCATCTCGAGGTAATGTGGCTATTATTGACATTTTTTTTTAAAAGATTTATTTATTTGTTCATACAGAACTGGGGTACAGGCCAGAGGCTCAGGGGTGGTGAGAGGCTTCACCAGAGACAGAGTGGGGAGCAGAACAGGCAGATCTACGAAGTACACTGCTGAGAGGAGCAGCGGGCGGGTCAGGAAGGTCTGCCTCGCCATGTGGTCACCTCCGGGACAGGCGGGAATCGAACTCATGCGGAAGTGGCTTTAACTTCTCAGTGTTGTGCTTTAACCCGCTGCGCTACCAGGGAGGGCCGACATTTTTTTTTTTAATGTACATTTGTCTTAACATTTCACTGAAAACTTAAGTTTCCACTTTCCCTAAGGGACTGTGTAGTATACTTTTTGACAGTCCATTATTGGCTGGACGATTACACATAGGGACTGCACCAAGCAAAATCCATGTGAGCACACTTTGTTTTGAGGGATTATTAATGTGAGTTTTTGGAAAGAGACAGCAGAAGTCAACCCTCTCAGTTATCATTCTAGCCAAGATATGTTCTCAAAAGTTATGTTTCTTGATACCAAAAGAATACATGTCTTGGCCTTCTGGGTAGATATCTAGCAATATGAAGTATTTTTTTCTCATTGGACTCATTAAACATTCTTTGCAAGCTTCTCTGTGGTTGTGGTATGGTGCCACATAGTTAAGAAGGGCAGAAGACAGCTAAAGCAACAGAGTTCTTCATATTGCCCCAATACTGAGTGGGTACTATGTTACTCATATTTCATGTAGAATCTCATTTTAATCTTACCACAACTCTCAGAAATAGAAAAGTAACATCACTGCACTATTTTTCCCCCCCCAGAGGGTGAAACTGAAGTACGAAGATGTTTCTATGTTGCCTCTGGTGTTGTAGCTAACACAGCCCCTATGTATAAGCCTCCAGCAAATGATGAACTGTTAAGAAGTATAATACACAAAGCTAACTCTGATACCTAGCTCAGGTCCTGTTCACTATGGCACCAAAGAAGGCTTCTGACAATGCCCTAAGAACTCGGGGACATTTACAAACCACCCAGAATCCTACTGAGAAGAACTGTAATTAGTAATAATGACTCTCATTAAAATCCTTTTTTGCCAAAATTGTATTTTGGTTTTCAGTGCAATGTCATTTTAACTTATATTGACATAGTTAGAAAAACACACCGTTTATACTATCCAACATGTATTTTTTTCTCATTATATAGTTTGGATTGTCACTGGAATAACATACACTTTAACATTCTTACTGTGAGATATCAAATCCAAAAATCCACAATTTTATTTAAAAAAAATACAGTGATAAAGAATGAGGACAAAGTCTTCTTCTTAGATGAAAACTTCTCATTTAAAAAAATTCCTGACCTTTAGGCCATATTATAGATTAGATGCCACAAAGGTTTTTATGAATGTCTATAGTGCCAGCATTTCCACTAAAATTTAATTCCAATTTAACTTTAGAGTATTTACCTTTGATATAGACTATTCTATTTACTCTGATACAATTATACAGTAAAATTAAAAGTAAATCCACAGATGTTCATCTGCCATTGTTTTAAGCTTAACAATCTTTTTATATATTTATTTAGCTCTTATGTTTTCAAGTAACTTTTTAAGTCAATGAAAATTAAAAGCCATGTTGGTAGAAGTTTTGCCAAATAAGCAAAAAGCTCACCCAAGCTAAAGGGAAAAAAATGCACAGTCCATGAATTTTTTAAAATTCATACATAATACATCATAAAAGTAGGATGAATAATAAGGAACATGGGTTTTAATAAAAAGCTCCTTGACCATTTCTCAGAGATTCTGAGATGTAGTCAATACCCAAAAATGTATCTTGGGGACAAAGTCAAGATTTATGATATTTTTGCTGAGGGTGACACTTTCTGCTTGCTTTATCAGCTGGAAGACATGATATTGAATTTCAGGAAACACAAGAAAGGAAAGTATTTTTACCTTCCTGACAATGCTTCAAGGATGCACTTTATGGTTCACTTGTGATATCAAATTTGATGGAAGGAAAGTAACAACTTAAACAAGTGTTTTGAAGACAACAGGAAAACTCACATGCATCTCAACATCAGTGTGTGGCTGCATGAGACTTTGACTTCTTTCCACCTCTGAAAGCAAATCTCCGGATGAAAGATTTAAGATGCGGGAGTGAAGTTTCTAGATAAAAGTAAATGGAAACACTGAATAATAAAGATTTAATTGTTTCAAAATCCTGACTTGGATAACTAAATGTCAAAAGAGTTCATATTTCTAGGTTAGATAGTACTCACCATAACTTGAGAAAGTTAATTCTAACTTAATAGCGTTCCATATATACATGTGCAAACTACAGTTTATAAGTAATTATTGCATTTTTATGATCTTTCAGCCTGTGTTAGGAAATAACAGGAAACAGTAAATACTAGAAAAAGTGTGAATATATCAGAATAACTACTGACTACATTAAAACTAACTTTTGATATTCACATTAAAGAACAATAACCACATCAACCTTATGAACAGTGGTTAAAATCTGAGTGAATAATTACAAAAGTGACCTTAGTTTTAAACACCACTGATCTTGTGAAACCTTCTCTTGGACACATTTTAACTCAAAGTCATTAATGTCATCTGTTAGGAACAATTAATGTGAGTAGAAAATAATTGCATCAGGGACCTGGGGACTTAGAGGATTTTGTGCATTAATATTCACATGCTATTAGATTATATACTCAATTCTTCAGTTTTTCTTGGGAGGCCTGCTAAACCAGGGGCATTTCACTATATTAATCTTTATATTAATTAGTAAGGCTTTTCTGTGGACATTAAATTTGAACTGTTTTAATTGCAGATACAATAAAAGTTGTGATTTATGTAAAATGTTTCTGCTACACTGATGACATTTAAAATGGTACTTGTAGCTTGGTTTGTCTTGGGTACAACTTTTATGATTTCAAATACTGAACAATCAAATCAAGTAAGTAAATAATGTGGCTAAACATGCTTCTCTCACCTCTGGAAAGTTTTTCTGCTCCTTCCCCTCCTGGAAGGCTTTGCTGCATACTAATGCTGATCTGAAAACATCTGAGATTCTCTGCCACTGATTAATGTTAGGATCATCTTCATGGGTGGGATGACCTCACTGTTACTATAGCCCAGCTCTGCCATATTGTTAGGAGGGACCACACACTGCATGCAATGAGTCAAATTCACTCTGGTCCCTATTTGGGTTCCCTAAACTTGGAAGAGAACTCCTTGTACTCAGTTGATCACTCAACAAACCTATTCAGTATCAATTTAAGGGGGAGAACTGAGGCAGGTCTGTCCCAGGAGTGAAGGCTTGCTTCTGTGTTGTATCAATTCGCTTCTTCAGTGATGGAATCTCAAATCACTATTTGTCTCAAACTTATACATTTACTTTTCTCGATCCATGTTTGTGGGGACACTTTCACAAAAAGGGGAATGAATCCTAAACTAGTAGCCTGTTATTTTTAAAATTCTAATTTCTCCAAACAAACCAAGACAACAATAGCAGCTAGAAGCCAGATATTGTTTCTGCACAATTTTTGTAATCCTTACACTTTCAGTTTCCTGACAGTAGAGATCATTAAATCCCTATGACATATCTCAGTGGTAACACTCTGTAAGCTCTCAACTGATGTTTCTTGTAGCCTAGAAAGATATCTTTATGTTTTTCCCATCCATATGTAGGTTTTAGAGATTTAGAGAGTGCCAAAGAACTAGAATATTCTGAGCTAAGAATACATTTGTCAATATGCAAGCAGTCTAAGGAGCTATGAGAAATGACATTCAACAAAAGAAATGATGATTTTTAGTAGTATGTCATGTGATTTTGCAGAAGAGCTCTTATAAATCAGGTATTTGATTCTTATTTGGTTCATGGTTATACTTCACTCCTTATCAGGGATGTGATGTCATCCTTCTGCTTCCTGCTTTAGTAGGTGTATGTAAAAGTAGTTCTCTTAAATGATGTTATATTTGATTTTTTTTTCACCAAAGTGGTTAGTTACCACCAATGAACTTAGTAAGGATGTGTGGGAGAGTTTTCAGGTCTTACAGTAAGGATATATGAGTTCTAGACCTCGCTAAGGCACAGGTTGTACCAGCTCTTGGGAATATAATTGAATACCTAGGTCTCAGATTCATCATGTGTTACAGAGGGACAGAAGTGGCTACCTAACTTATTTTACAGTCAGGGCAAGATATAATCATAGTTATAAAGGACAACAAATAAGATAATACACTAAAATTCCAGTTAATGGAATTAATTGTCATAGTTGAGAGTTGGTTGTAGGAAATTTCTTAAATGCTAAGGTGCAAATAAACTGTTTGTTATTATGGTTTCCATATATGTAAGGCAGGTAAAAATTGACTTGGGGGATAATAAGATATTATCCTTACCACAAGGATAATAAGCCTTGTGGTAAGGCTGTGGCAAGAAAGTAGTAGGTAAAGCATTCTTTTGCACAATTTCCCTTAATTTACCTCAAAAGTTTATAAGTCCACAGATGTTATACTTTTAATAAGCATTTTGTTGAAAAGCTTATATTTTCACACTTCTATGTATGTATGTAATATTAAGCATATTGTGCAGAGAGAGGAAGAAAATGATAATTCTTTATTTTTCAAACTTCCTTGCTTATCTGTTATCTAGGCTTAATTCAGATCAAAGCAAAAAGTAATTAGAATGTGCACATGGAAAATTCAATAGGAGTTCTTGTCAGCAAGGTCTGATAGGAACATACTATGGCCTTTTAAAAGTCCACTCGCTTAGTTAAAGTGGGATTCACTATCACATAATCACCCATGCTTCATGTTTAATGTTAGTGTCATTGGAATACTTTTGACTTGAAATCTGTAACTTGAAAATCAGATAAAGCCTGGGGTTTGCTATATTGTTTTATGATTTAGACATGAGAGGTAGCAAGATCATTCAGTATAGGTTTGAAATGTACCTCTTATCTTCTCTTACATTATCTCTGCAGCTGAGGTTCCACTTGATCATAGAAATTGACAATGTTACCTCACAATTCTCCCAATTGGAGGTCAATGAGATCTTTTCATTGAAATGCTTCCCTGGAAAGTAAAATCTTTCTTCTGTGAGATTGGGTTCATTGTCTCTGGAATGGGTACTCTGTTTTCTAGCTGATGTTTTTGTCTATCTCTACACAGCATACTCTCTGCTCTTACCCATCTATCTAGAAATTACTCACTATTCAGAACTGCACTAAGTCCTTTCTGTAAATTGGTCATCTCCAGACCACAGTGAATGCCCCACCCAGAATACATCATTCCCCATTTTGGCCCTCTCTCTGGAGTACACATCACTTAATTGCTGTTGTGTATAGGGTCTGTTTTCCTAACAAGATCAGTTCTATGAGAATATAAAGCCTGGCCCTATGTTTCTGCTCTGTCCCTGTGGCAAGGGCTGGCTAGGTATCACTGGACCTGTTCCCTCTTCTTTCTGGGCACGCAGCTGACTGTATTTTCCTACCTCCTTTATAGTTAAATGCAGTCATGTGACATAGTGACTTCCAGTCTGTGGAATGTGAGTGGAGGTCACATATCTGTCTAGGCTTAGGAATCTCTCCTTCGTGAGGTTTTCCATGCTCTTTCCTCTTTCACCAGCTTGCTGCAGCCAATTCAGCTCATAATCTCAGAGGCCATGTATGAAAATGGAGCCACCAAGTAGAAGGAGTTGAGTTCCTGAACTGTCAACTGGAGGAGAGCCACCATGGAATCAGACATACTTCTCTTGGACTTTCCATGAGAAAGAAAGAAAGAAACTTACAATGGATTTGAGCTGTCATTCCATGGACTGGCTTGTTATAATGACTAATATTAATCTGATGGATATTACCTCCCTGCCTCTCCCTCAATACCCCCCACTGCCCTCCCCCCAATCCTGCCCTCAGATAGTACTCTAGCATGCAGGACAGCCATATGTGTATATATAAGTATATATACACACAGACACACCTTTTGTGTTTATATATAATGCATATACACATATAAACACATACATGCATTAATTATATATATGCACACACACATTCACACATATATAATGGTTGTATCAGCAGACCCAGGTGACTTTCCAAACTGAGGATTTTCAGGTTCATAGGGGAGAAGTCTACTTTCTATCACTGTGTAGGATCAGGTCTAGGAAGTTTTGTGTGATGAGATGAAGTACACAGCAATCTGCACATTACACCACAGACTAGGTTCACTATGGGGACCTGACAGTGGTGTCCGAAGCACACTCTGGATCAGTAATATTTGCTGGCTGATCTTACCCTCAGTCAGTCAGCTCTGTGTTCTCTGCATAGTTCTATATCCATAATTTGGAGCAGAGAAACATCCTCCTGGACAGACCACTCAAGACTGCCTATCCTTGTCAGGGTGGGGGATGAAGGTGTAGTGGCCCCTTCAGAGGAGTAGTAATAGGTTTGGCAGCTCTGCAGTCAACACTGCAGTGAGACCAAACCAGGTGTGCTGGGGCCTTCAGAGCTAGGCCTGCGGTCTGGTTTTTCTACTCTGTTTCTCTCCTCACTCACAGAGCTGCATGTTGGCTGACGTCCAGTGTAGACTGCCTTTGGGTTATGCTCAGTACCACATTGATATCTTAGTTTTAAAATAGTGGTTGCAGAGGCCAGAAAGACACTGAGATCTTACTTATGGCACCAGGTGAGGTGACAAAGCAGATATTCACCTGAAAAATTTGGGTAGCATGAAAAAACATGCAGGATAAAGTAAAACGGCATGGAGAAAAGTTTCTGCATATACTGATGTTCTTTCTAAACTTTGAAAAGGAAAGTGTGAATTTTTACTTGTCAAGATTTCAGAAGTTACTAAGCATATTAAGCATCACATCAGCTTAAGATGCAAAGAACATACAAGTGAGATTGTTTAGCTATCACTCCCTTTTCCTCATTCAGATTTGGCAAAAGAAAAACCTAACACCATAATCATGTATATCATTTTTTCTTCCCTCTGTTAAAAGTTAAATATTCGAATAGATGAGAATTAATGAGAGTAGTTATAGCATATATCTGACTAATGAACTCTACCTAACATGAGTAATTTAGGTTCAACAACAGAAGGCAGATGTGAATTAGTGTTTTTAATCGAGTCTGCTTCAATCCTCTGGATTTATT